CTCAGCCAGCTTTCATGCCTAAGGCGGGACTAGAACTCACCGTCTCCCAGTTTCTAGTCTGTTGACTTTACCACTAGACCAAGTAGACTAGGCTGCTTGCTGACTCCCAGTTGCATCCACCACCATCAGGCTCCTAGATATTTGCAAACAGGGGTTCCAAAGCTACTGGCTGAAAGTGGTTGGAGTAAGGAGGAGATCCTGTTGAGCTACTTCCCAGGCCCTCTGCTGTCTCCATTCTTGGTTCCCTCAAGTGTGGAGGAAGACTTTTGTGTGAAAACGGTATTGGGCAGCACAGAAGCCTCACCTGATGTGAAGGAGGAAAACAGCTGGGTTTTGCCCTGGGCAAGGGTGGTGTAGCAATGCCAGCCGAGGAAAAACACCACCGGTAGCCAGAATATACAGACAGTGTACCTGGAAATAAAAATACAAGGGTCAGACTGGTTTTTGATTTGCGACGCCTCAAAACCTGGCCTTAGAATGGGGCTGAAGCACCTTGTTCAGATTCTGTGTCAAACTCAAGGCCCACGGGCTGAATCCAGCCCACAGGGTGCTTAGATCTGGCCCGAGGACCCACCCTGGAAACAGCGAAGGACCGGCCTACGGTGCCTCTGCCAGCGAAAGCCAAGCTCGGGAGGGCTGTGCATGGAGCATCCCTGTTAGGAATAACATTGGTTACCTAACTTAGTTTGGGTAAAATAATATATATGTTAGTGAGTTTAAGTGTGTGTATCACTTTAACTGTAAAACATGTATTTTGGGTGCGGTTGTAAAAACACCATAAGAGGGAGCAAGAGAGCTCACTGTTTGCTGGCTTTTACTGGATTGCTGACAATGATGGATTGATGGTGATAACTGCGTGTTTTCCCTGCTATTGCTGAACGAAGAAAAGAGGTTTGATTTTCTTCATATCTCTAACTGCAAAAGAGATATATTACTGGACTGATTATTTGTAAGTTTACTGACCTCTTTTTCGACACTGGAATTTGCAACTGAATAATCCCCGGATGGACTGAACTAGTGTGTGATATATGGACTGTTTGACTATGCTATAACTCTGACTGGAATAAAAACTATTTAACTGGCACAGTGTATCTGTTTTACTGAGTGTAAGCTACAACAACGTTTATCTCACATATCTGCCTGCCTGACTGACTACCGTTGCACGTTCTGCTAGGGTGTATATCCCTAACACTCCCAAGCTCTGTTTTCAGCTGCGACGGCCTCCTGCAGCCCTCTGCCAGCGAAAACAGAGCTTGGGAGGGCCATATGCCCTAAATGAAACTGGGCCTCCCATCCTGAACCAGATCAGGACTAGTCTGTGTGCCGGAAGATGACAACTCTACAATTCATCCCTAATCCATTACTAGGCCCCACTCAGAAACAGCACCTGCAATTCCAACTGTGTGAATACTCCCAAATCTGGGGGTTGGAGGGGAGCAGAGGGCTGGGCTAGGAGCTGCTCTAAAAGACCAGGGGCTTAGCCCTTCTGATCACAGGTATGCAAAGCTTCGGCACCCTGCAGCCTCTCCCACAATTGTCCTGGAACTTGTCACTTTCCATGAGGCACGAAGGGGGTAACTATGCAAAAGATGGGGTGCTCTTATGAGCCACGGTGGCGCAGTGGTTAGAGTGCAGTACTGCAGGCTGCTTCTCTGACTGCCGAATGACTGCAATTTGGCAGTTCGAATCTCACCAGGTTCCAGGTTGACTCAGCCTTCCGTCCTTCCAAAGGCTGAGTCAACCCTGAGCGGGTCAGTATCGAACGCTTGGTAGTGGGCAGAGTCAGCCTGCAATACTGCATTCTAACCATTGTGTCACCACGTCTCTTTATCCTGGCCAGACCTGTTTTCTTGGGACACTCTTTGCAGCCCTGTGCCTTTGGCCTGCCCCCACTGCACACCCCTGCTCCACCTCTGGCCCTTACCATGTTGTCCTGGAGAAGAACTCCACGAGATCTGAATGGAAGAGGCGAATCGGCCGATCCACTGGCTGGTGCACCCATTCATCGTACTTCTCGCGCAGGTGGCCCACTTGCCAAAGCATAGGCTTTCCCCAGTCCACCAGGTCCTGGAAGGAGAGATGCCACAGCAAGATCTTTACAACTGCATGGTCTCAACAGTCAGAGTTATGACATTCTGACAACATAGCATGCCGGAAAATGTGATGAATGGCACTGCAAACAATGAGACTCTAGAAAAAGTGCAGAGAAAAGCAACCAAGATAATTAGAGGACTGGAGGCTAAAACATACAACGAACAGTTGCAGGAACTGGGCCTGGCTAGTCTAGGGAAGAGAAGGACCAGGGGAGACAGGAGAGCAGTCTTCCAATATTTGAGAGGCTGCCCCAGAGAGGAGGAAGGGGTCAAGCTATTTTCCAAGGCCAGAGAAGGAATAATGGATGGAAACTGACCAAGGAGAGATTCAACCTGGAAGTAAGGAGAAATTTTCTCACGGTGAGAGCAATCAACCGATGGAACGGAAGTTGCCTTCAGAAGTTGTGGGAGCGCCATTACTTGAGACCTTCAAGAAGAGACTGGATGCCATCTGTAAGAAATGGTGTAGGGTCTCCTGCTTGGGGTGGGGGGGGGTTGGACTAGATAACATACTAGGTCCCTTCCAACTCTATTAGTCCGTTAAGAAGCAGAATGGTCGGATGCTAAATTCATGTTTCTAAAAATCCCATCTTTGTAGAATGACACAGATTTTCTAACAATTAGGCAATAAAGAGTTGCTTTTTTTCTCTCCCTTTACTTCTTATTTACTTGCTAAATTTATTTGTCCCCATTTCACTCTGGGGCTTCTCTGGGTGGCTTGAATAAGCACTTGAACCCTGAGAGTCTCAGCTTAAGGAAAGTGGATTTTATTTACCTGGGTTTGTGAGCAAATATAAATTGCACAGTCCAGTAATATGTGGCCACTCTCTTTCACTCTCACACACATTTAAATTTACTGCATATAATTAGCTTTGATTAGTATGTGAGAGGGGTGTAGCAATGCCAATTAAAAAAAAATAGCCACGCCAACGTTTTAAGACCTTGAATTGCAAACAACTGATTGTTGTCAAATTGAGTTCTGTTTCCACAATGGGGTGTCTCCAGAGGGCCCAACACCATAATTTTTATTTCATTCTGCCTATAAGTTAAGACAACCCGAAAAGAGAGAGAGCATCCCTTATAGTTTATAATTGTTTGATAAGTGCCTTCAGAATTAAACTAGATCATCCTATTATAGCCCAGAAGGAAACCAACCTATGAATAAACCAGAATGCTTTGGGCTGTACACAGCAAAACCAAAACTATTCTAGATTAGGACTCTCCAACCTTGGCAACGTTAAGCCTGGAGGACTTCAACTCCCAGAATACCCCAGCCAGCTTTAAGCCTGGAGGACTTCAACTCCCAGAATTCCCCAGCCAGTTTTAAGCCTGGAGGACTTCAACTCCCAGAATTCCCCAGCCAGCTTTAAGCCTGGAGGACTTCAACTGGCTGGAGAATTCTGGGAGTTGAAGTCCTCCAGGCTTAAAATTGCCAAGGTTGGAGAGCCCTGTTCTAGGTTATGTATTTGTGCCAGGCAGAAGATTTCACAGGAATCTGTGCTTCAAAAACCTGGATCACCACTGAAGGGCAGCAGAGAGCTGAGGATTTCTTCATCTCTCTTTCTGAATTGTGGATTGCTGAAAGGCGGTGGCCCTCTCCCCTTTGCACCACAATAAAATGGTTAAAATTAACCTCTGCTCCAATACTGGGAAGGGAGACTGTTTACCACATTCATTCTTTCATATTTCAGGAACAAAATTGCCAGAAGTTAGTGTTTACTAAACTTTCCCGTTATCAGATCATATGAACATTGTCATAACATGTACATAAGAAGGAGCTGGGCTTCCGTTGAATAATATTATCTTTACTTTTGCGACCAACCTCCCACAGATGCCTCCTAAAATAATGGACATTTCAAGGCACAGAATTGGCATACAAGGAATCCTGATCCCTGCCAGCTGTCTCTCCTTCGTGGATGAACTGGGCAAACATTTCTGGATATATATATATATATTTTTCCTCTGCAGATCCCAGCCCTTCTTCTTCTCCCTGTTACCTCCTGTGAGAAACAAAAATATAGGCTATTGATCTAAATTTGCAGGTCTAGTGACAGAGATGATCTGCATGGGCCCAGCCCTGGGACACTTGCCAGCTGAATCAGGATTGTTCAGCTGTGTCTTTATTTCCTCACTGTTTATGTACTCTTTCCCCGTGTTTAAATGGTGTGTCATTACTATAAACTTTCTGGTGTGCCCTGCACAATGTATCTTGCGACAGAGTTCTTTTTAAAGAGCAGAGTTCATATGACTGATTGTATACATGGGATGCCGAGTGAGAAAGAGCTGGGAAGATGCATATCTATCCTCATAACATGTCATGCTCAGATAAACCTCCCACTTCATTGGCAGAGAAACCTAACGCAAGACTACCCGGTTTCCCCAAAAATAAGACCCTGTCTTCATTATTTTTGGCACCAAAAAAGGCACCTGGTCTTATTTTCGGGGGATGTTCTCCACTGACTAACCTCACTTGCGCACATTGCCCCCAGCCTCCTTTTCACTGTCAGAAGCCTTCAGGAACTGCTTCTGCGGCTGGCAGGGCTTTCCTGAAGGCCTCCGATCTGGGGCTCTGTTATCAGCTACAGAGGCCTTTAGGAAGCCTTGCCAGCTGCAGAAGAAATGGGCCGGCGAGGCAGGTGTCAGGGTGTGCGAGACCTGGCTACAACTGTCCAAAGGTAAGTAGTAGGGCAGCTCCACCACCCCCCGCCATCCCTTCCCGTAGCTTAATTTTTACCCATGCATTCTGGAGTGGGTGGGATCTTAATTAGGGCTTATTTTGGGAGCAGGGCTTATATTGGGCTCGAATGTAAAATCAAGCTAGGACTTACTTTCAGGGTAGGTCATATTTTCAGGGAAATGGGTAGTTTCTCAATCCAGAGGGATAGAAATTGGTTTCTGCCAGATCACGGCCCTGCTGCTTCTGGGAGAGATGCTGTAAGAACTGCCAAATCAAGAGGCAACTAACTGATGACTAGCTCCCTTGTCAGAAGGGGCATCGTAGAGGGTAAAGTATTTTTTCCCAGTGGGACCAGTCTACCAGTGCAACCTGGTCTACACCAATATGGGATGGGGCATACTGCTTCTGCTTTCACCTTTCAGCCCCACTCCAGGAGCCTTCGCAGGCAGTCGCTTTTGCAACAAACTATTTCGAAATTATGTTTTACCGACAAAGAGTTTCTTTCTTTGTCGGTAAAACAGAAAAATCAATATCACGGAGGGTGATTCACCAAGGCCAGGCATCTTTCAGCTGATTGCAAAAGTTGAACTTCCAAACACCCACTGAGGTGCTTCGAGGCTACAGAAAATACTGCTGCAGTTTCTCAGCTTCTTTTTACTTTAATTAACCCAGATTACTTTAGGTACTTTTCTGCCCAAAACAAAGCAGCAATTGGCCAAACAGAATGAGGAATGAGGGTGTCAAGAATTGCACATTTATTTCTGTATTCATAGGCAGTTACACAGGTAGGGAAAGAGAATGATGGGAAAGGGGTCTCAGAAACCATTTGTAACCCTTTGCTTGAGTTGGGAGGGTTTCCAACTAGGGGCTCCCCCAAAGAAGAGGGAGTCAAGCTATTCTCCAAAGCGCCTGAAGGCAGGACAAGAAGAAAAGGATGGAATCAAGGAGAGATCCAACCTAGAAGTAAAGAGAAATTCCCTGACAGGTAGAACAGTTAATCAGTGGAAAGGCTTGCCGTCAGAAGTTGTGGGTGCTCCCATCACTGGAGGCTTTTAAGAAGAGACTGGAGAGCCGCTTGTCTGAAATAACCTCCAGAGTTCCTTCCAACTCTATTATTCTATTCTATTATTCTTTCTTTGATTGTGTGTATCCATCCCATCAAGCCCAAAGAAAGTCCGGAATGGCATAGGATCCTCTGCCATGGCCAGGGGTGTGTGTGGACTGGAAGCCCCCTCCCAACCCTACTATTCTATGCTCTAGTCAAGTTTCTTTGTGTGGGGTTTACTCCTGGCCCTTGGAAGTAAACATCCTTTTACATGACTTCTTGCCTTGCATCATGACACATTGCCTGCGGAGGTGAATTAAGCATATGCCACACACCGTTGCTAAACCTAAGTGACTTTACCTGGACTTGGAAGCAAAGCAGATTGGTGATTGGTAGATACCAGAGTGGAAGTGGTACAGGTATGTTATGAGGTTGAAAAATACGTTCTGGAAAAAAGCATTGCCATCATGCATCTGTCACTTCCATGAAGCCACCCAGGGGCAGGGTAACCAGATATCTGAACAGATGAAGGAGGACATGGAAAATTGGCCTGGAGGGGGCAAAGGAAGACCAACTAGAGATATTCCTTAACTTATGGCCAATTGCTTATGACAGTGCCTGAAAATGGAATTTACAACCCAGATTCAAAATTCCAATATCTTCTCTCACAGAGTCACACAGCTGCATTTCTGGCATATTTACAACCGTTTGCAACACTCCCTGATCACGTGACCACAATTTATAACACTTTTATTGGAAACTAGTGATAAAATCTGGTTTCCTGCCCAAAACTGCTCCATAACAAAGAATGATGTAAATGAAAGACAGGTAGAGCCTTGGTGATGGTGGAGTCAAAGGTGGAATAAGCCTAGAGTCATTACATATTCACAGTTTAAGTCCAACCGCTCTTGAATTCCATTGATTCTTATCTGGTGTCAATTTAGTGTTCAGCATTGGTTCGGTTACATTCTCGTCTATAGGCGTGAATAATAAATAATGAATTGGAATTTTATGTGTGGTTTTGATTCTTCTGCCTGATAAGAGCTTCAGAATTTGCTTAAACAACCACTCAAAAAAGGTCTTAAAATCAGGTCTGCCCATGTGCTCAGCCATGTTAGGACCGTGACTGAAACTGTGGGCTCAGCCACGGTGTTAAGTCAAGAATTTCCTGTAATTGTTTAATTTTCTTGGCAACCATCACGAACCATAAAGTGGAACAACTGCAAAAAATATATATATACTTGAGGTTCAT